GCTCTGCAGCAAAACCAATTGTGATTGATTTTAACAGTAGAAACTTCTGTTTTCTAGTGAAATAAAATTTCAGAAGTTGCCTCCCATTGATGATGCTGCATAAGGTCATGAGTTTAATAATTAAACATCTTGTTTAATTACCAAACTCATTAAGCTATTATCAGTTAAAAAAAAAATCTTTAAAGAGATGGAATCATTGAGGTTTCTGTCTTATATCTTTAGCAATGTAACCAAAAAAAAATTTAATTTAGTGAAAGTTAATTTATCTTTAATTCAGTGACAGTTACATAATCAGTCTTCTGGTAGGAAAACCATGGAAAAGGTTGCAAAGTTTGCTTTTATTAACTTCCTTGATTGAAAACCAGTTTTAAAAGCACCATAGATTACATGGAGGATACAATTCTTAATTTTAAGAAGTTTAGGTAGCTCTAGTTGCTCAGGCTGCTTTTTAATAAGATCAGAAATAACCAGTTTATTTAAGGCCATCTGTACAAAGCTTTGTTAAATTTATACAAAGTTAAATTTATATAATTTAATCATTGCCAAAGATATGGTCATAGTTTCAAGATATTATTTTGTGGGAGGTTAGTCCAAAAATTGAGAGTCAAAGTATTTGTATTCAACATGATTTAGATCATTGTTTAAAAATGAATACTTAGATCCATTGGATAATTTTTAAAAGAATCATAGAGGCTTTCATCAAATGAAAAGATATAAAAAAAAGATTTCCTGATATTTTTTGTTAAAATTATGTGTAAACAATGCCCAAACCCAAAATTAATAACCAAGTTTTTTTCTACCCATCTCATAAGATTTAATAGCTGTGTTATCAGAAAACATTTTTTTTAATATATTAGACCATTCTTATTGCACAAGTTCAATAAGAAATTTTTTTCTGCATGTACTGCATGGAAAAGAGATACCTGTACTGCATGCAAAAGAGATACCTGTACAAGTTTTATCATATTGATCTACTATAAGAACTCCTTGGTTTTTAGATATAGACTGTGCAGGTTTGAAGTAGCAAGATACTGGCTTTGACTTTCTGACCTTTTTTTCCCCCTCCATGTGACTTGTCACAGCTCTCTGATCTATATTTCATAAGTTGAATTGAACATGGCATGTTTTGCATTTGACTGACTTTTTATCTGTCATTTACCAGCCATTTTTGAACAATGAATCACTAAAAGATACTTCACTGAAATAAACTGTCAATTAAAAAAATTAAATTTTTATTTATTCAAAAAAAAGAGAATGAAAATAAAATATGATTTAAAGAAATTTTAAAAGTCTTCACATGTTGCAGCTATTTCTACACAAAAAAGCACCTAATAAATTCATTTAAATTATTAACAAGGTTGCACTCAAACCAACATAAAATGTTTTGCATAAACTTTTTATTTGGTTTATACTATAAATAAATGACCAGAATAAAAGTTAATTATATATATATATATATATATATATATATATATATATATATATATATATATATATATATATATTTCTTTGGAAATTTCCACTATTCACTCCTTTTTTCCTTTGATTTGTGGTCCAAGGAAATGGTAGCGTCCGATAATTTGCTTTTGGAAAGGCATTCTTCATTTTTCTTCCAGTGAATATTCTTTCAAAGGGACCATTCTTCTTCTTTTATGAGAGTCTTCAAATTTTACCAGATTATTGGTCCAGACATCCTTGTTTTTCTGAATGCTACTATCGCTAGGCTTGAGCAATGCCATGTGTTGCTTCTGTAACAACTATAAAATTAGATGAGCAGCTATATATAGTATAAAATGTTCTAAATTGTTCTAGAATGTTCCAAAATATTTTAAATTGTTCTAGAATATTCTAAATTGTTCCAGAATGTTTTAAATTGTTCTAGAATGTTTTAAATTATTCCAGAATGTTCTAAAGTTCTAAACACTTTTAAACTATACAAGTTTTAAATGATTTGCAGGAAAGCCACACGAACAAGATTAAATAAATGACAAAACGTAATTTGTAATATGACATAGGAAACTAATTTTTTTAAAAAGTCAAAAAATCATAACCCTAATGTGTATATATATATATATATATATATATATATATATATATATATATATATATATATATATATATATATATATATATATATATATATATATATATATATATATATGGAGAGAGAGAGAGAGAGAGAGAGAGAAATAGAAGAGAGAGAGAGAGAAAAAGAGAGAGAAAGAGTGACAGACAAACAGGCATACAAAAACACACACACAGACATATGCAAACACACACACAATCCCTAAGTTCTATGAAAAAAAGAAAAACTAATTCTATTCTCTAAATTTTAATGTTTAAAGAGCCAACTGTTAACATAATTTTTGGTTTATTTGATGGTCTCATATGTTTTACATTAAAGTTGAATGAAGAATCAAAGTAGTATCTTTTTCAATCATCTTTTTTTTTTCTTTTTTTTTTTTAAGGTTATTTAGGTGCTCCTAAAAGTCCTTACGGTCTTATCACGGATCACCGCGGGAGAGCATTTAACTAGAAGTTCACACCTCCTTCCTTACCAATGTTGCTTATTGGGCTAGAGCCAGCGTGGAACCTCGGACCTCTGGGTTCTGAGCCAGAACTCTAACCACTGTGCCACGGCTGGTTCATCCCAGTCTTACTTTTCCTGCGTGACCTATTGCAACTTCATTTGAAGATGAGATGCAGCTGAAACTACATTAACCCTAGATGAACTGTTGTATTCAATAAAATGTATAAAACACAGCTCTGTGCTCGAAATCAATTTCTTAATTAAACTTCCATTGTGGACAACTTTCAAAAGAAACATAACAAGTTTCATCTTGGAGTTCATTGAATGTTTTAACCAAATTGTAAACATAATCTTTCTAAGAGTTGGACAAGACTAAACTGTGGATGAGGGAGAAAGACTGGTAACTAAATCTTTAAAAAATTGTTTTTTGATTGTTATTAGTGAAAACTCACTTATAACATGTTGATAATTATACTGTTTACCTTTGCTCAAGAAAGAACTTTGGTCCTTACTTTTAATATTTGGTTACTAATTGTTATACTCAATGTTAGTTGACCACAAATCCAACTACAAAATTTATTTGTGCAGGGACATCTTTCCTGTGTAGACCAGCACAAATCAAATCTTCTTTTTTAACATTTTTGGATATTTCTTTGTTGTATGCATTGTAGTTGCTAACTGACTTAATGTGAATAACCTAACAAAGATAAAGAAATGTGTTATTGCAGTCAATAACCTTTTTTTTTTTTTGAAACATTTTTAAAAGAAAATTGAAAAAAAGAAAATCATATTAAAAAAATAAAGTATTGCTGTTGTTGCAGTTACAAATGTATATATTGTTTATTACATTAACAAAAGAAACAGAACAAAATGTTTTATCTGTATATGGTATTTACAATTTCTTATGTTACAAAAATAATTCAACTTTTTTTATTATAAGATTTCTGCTAATAAACTATTGACATTTGGATATTTTTATTTAAAGTTAGCAAATAACTTTTTTTTTTAACATTTAATATATGGAAAGGTCCAAAAAACTGGATTAAGGTCTAATTTTATTGTAACAAATGACACCTAAATGATTTCTCTCAGCTAAATAACTTTTTCTTATTAGTTATTTGTAAAAATTATTCAATGGTAATACTAATGTAATTTTGCAAAATAAATCTATAATGTTGATAAATATTTGAATATTCAATTCATTATATTAATAATAATAATAATAATAATAATAATAATAATTATTATAATTATAATAATTATAATAATAATAATAATAATAACAATAACATAAAGAAATACCTCGAAGTGCAGGTTTGTGAGTCAACTTGTACAGATAAGAGATTATTCTAACAGCATTTTTCAACATATTTGGTTATTTTGAAGTAAATAATCTCACCCATCCAATATTAAAGAAAGATCTTGTGTTCTGTTAGTTATGTAATGTTCCTGAGTCAGATATCATGCTATCTTTTTTCACTAAAAACTGAATCTGTATGACTTTTATGATTTTATTTTATGATCTGCATGATCTTAAAATATAATCTACTTGACATCAAAAATCATCGATTAGTGCATTATTAACATTAATTGTTAATTAAAAACCACTTTAATTGTAAACCATGTGACATTATGGAATATTCTAAAATTTTCTTTAATAGAACTACAATTTATAAAAATTACAAAAATATATAATAAATATAATAAAGTAAAAAATTTTAATTTGAGCATAAAAAAATAACCTTTTATTAAAAAATCATTAGGGGTAATCATTAGGCTTAAAATATACCCACCCAATCATATAGCCAATTTTTTTTTTCTAAAAACCCTACACCTAAAATATAGTATGATAATTTTTTTTAAAATTATTCAGTAAAACACAATCAAATAAAATCTTAAATACTAATATTTGGATATTGTTCAATGGGTGATACCTCTCAAAAAATTTCAGCATTATTAAATATAATAAAAAGTAATAAAAAATAATATTATTAAAATTTTAATTTAGGGACCAACAAGCATTTTTTTAATATAAATTTTCTTCAAATTAATACCAGCATAAATATAACAGAAAATTTAAGAAGGTTCCTTCTCAGAATTCATAAACTCTCTCAACTTGTTCTGAAATAAATGGTTGGCTAAGTTAAAATTGACAGCATATTATATTTTGGTTGGCTTCTTTAAAAGTTACATAATATTTTACGTTGGTGGGAAAACTTAAATTTTACATTATGTAATTGTAATTCAGATTCAGGACAAAAAGGCATTAAAGAACAGAAAAAAAGTTTTCCAAAAAGTTGAAAATTTTAAACTTTTATGTAATTATTAAACAAAACTTGTTTTTATCAATTATTTTTATTAAAATTTAATTTAATTACAAAACAAATGAAATAAATAATAATAAATATAAATATATAAATAAATATTTTATTTAAAAAAAGAATGTAAAATCATTAGTTCATGCAATCACCTGCAACTTCCAGTTTTGAAAGATATGGCAATGAAGCAAGTTTTTTTGCCTCTGAGATCTCCACAATTCCATTAAATGAAATATTCAAACTTACTAACCCTTGGCAACTCAATAAACCTAATAAAAAATTTTATTAGAAACAGTTTTCACAAGTAAAATAGATAAAAAAAAATTTACCTATAAAAACTAATTATGTTGTATTTAAAAATATTTCCAAGATTATCATATAACTTCAAAGATATCATATAACTTCAAATATTCAATGTTTATCTATATAAATTCACATGTTTAAACCAATTTTTAAAATATTTCAACTAAATAAAAATATTAAGACAATATATGTATATATATATATATATATATATATATATATATATATATATATATATATATATATATATATATATATATATATATATTTAGAGGTAGCCCAAAACCCTTAAAAATCAAACAGGCGCTAAAAATTATCAAAAAATTATATGAAAATTCACACAAAAAATCATCATTTTATAAAAAAAAATATTATTTTAGATTTTAGTGAACAGATAATATCGTTTTTTTTAACTAAAAACAAAAAATAGGGAAATTTTTATAAAATGATGATTATTTTGGAAGTTTTTATTTAATATCGCATCTTTTGAGACCCAACATAATATACTTTTAAAGAACTATTATTTTGATATATAAATATATTTTTTTTTGATATAAGAACTATTATTTTGATATATAGGGATCTACTTGATGTTTAAGGGTCTTGGACATTTTAACAAGCAGACATTAAAAAAAAAGTTGTTTTAAGGTCCACCCTAATATGTGCACACACAGAAGAAAAGAAAGATATCTCTTTTAATAAAGAAAATTGAAAAAAAAGATACCTCCAATAGCTTGTACCTTGTTGTAACTAAGATTTAGGTTTTTTAGTTTATCTATTGGCTGAAAAAAAGAAGAGCAAAATTAAAAGCTAAATTAAAAAATTAATAAATAAAAAAAATTTAATTTAAACAAGAAAAATAAGTGAAGTAGTTAAACAAGAAAAGTAATTAAGATAAGCATTATACTTGTGTTGATGCTGATATAAGGTATATTCTATTATTTGAAAGAGAAAGTGTGTGCAAGCTGGGAGATGTCACCAGCTGTAAATCTAGGTGGGTGATTAGATTGTAGCTAAGATCCAACTAAAAGTAGGTTTGAATAAAAGTAATAAATTAACATATACAATAATATATGGTTGCTATATATTATATTACATTATATATTTGTTTAGCATATGCATAATATGGAATAGTTATTCCCAAAAAAAGGCCTGGTAAAGTATTTAGATAGTTAAACAAAGTTGTTAAGGGTTGGTAACAACTCCTAATAACAATATATACAAAAAACATGTAACTTGTTTCAAAATTTATAAGTATTTTGTTTTAATTTGTTATTAATTAATATAATATAATTATTAATATAATAATGTAAGGTTATTATTTGTTTAATATAATAATAATGTAAGATTTTGTAAAAAATAAGTTGTGATATATATCTTATTAAAATGCAAAACTAAAAAGCAAAGTAGTGAAAAAAAAAAAAATAATAATATATATATATATATATATATATATATATATATATATATATATATATATATATAATTGATTTTTTGACAAGATTAAATAAAAAATAACTACATAATTTTTACTATTAAAAGTTTCATGCGTTTAGCAATCATCAGATAAAAATACATTGTTTTTTCGTTAAAAAATATATTATTTGCAAGCGTGGTAAACTATTTGCAACCGTGTTACTATTTGCAAGTGTGGTTTGGTTATTTAATCTTTAGGCTCGTGGTTGTCAAGCAAGAACTTAATTTCATGACGGCACTTAGATATCATTTCTGCTCTTTTATTTAATAGTTCTTGTGTACCTTTGTATGATATAACGCAATGGGACAGCATCATAAAAACAGCTTAAACATGACTTTCTGTTTACAGCTTTAAAATATTCAATAAATGACTAAAAACCTCTTATTTTATCTTTTCGTAAACAAAAAAAATGTTAAAATTGAAGTTTTCACATTAGATTTTATTCATAGCAGTTTACTACAATAATCTCTTTATAGTCATTTGAATAAATTACTATACAAAAACGTTTCAGCTTTTATATAATTTTTGCCCCATAGTATTAAACTAAAACTTCAAACTTGTAGATAATAAAATCACCGAATATTTGTAAACAAAATAAAACAATAAGCTTCGCGATTTTTTAAAAAAATAAACTAATCAAAACGCACACAAAATAAATTGGGATTATGGCGAAAGGGACTAAACGATATATTTTTCTTCGGATCTCTCCTTAACTACGCTGAGTATTAGATTTAAAAGAAAAGAATCAATTAATGAAAAAAATAATAACCATTTAATGAAATTGGTTATTTATATATATATATATATATAAATATATATATATATATATATATATATATATATATATATATATATATATATATATATATATATATATATATATATATATGTATATATATATATATATATATATATATATATATATATATAATACTATATATATATATATATATATATATATATATATATATATATATATATATATATATATATATATATATACATTAAATATATATATATATATATATATATATATACATATATATATATATATATATATATATATATATATATATATATATATATATATATATATATATATAAGTTTAATTTTGCTGTGAGCATATACTCAGCAAGAGTGCTCGATGAATCAGAGCTATATAATTGGTTTTTTGACAAGATTAAATATTATTTAACTACATAATTTTTACTACTAAAAGTTTCATGCGTTTAGCAATCATCAGGTAAAAATACATCGTTTTTTTGTTAAAAAATATACTATATAATAACATCGTGACATTCAAAAACAATTATAAAATGTTATTATTTGGTTTGGTTTTTTAATCTTTAGGCTCGTGGTTGTCAAGCAAGACCTTGTTTTCTTGACGGCACTTAGATATTATTATTGATTTTTTATTTATTAGTTCTTGCGTACCTTTGTATGATATTATTCAAAGTTTTTCATAAAGGCAAAGCAAGCATTTATTTGTTATGTTGCTGTAGGCGGGGACTATTTAAATATTGACCAGGCTAGGCTAATATATACTTTTTCTGGAGTGTTAGGGGGGATACTATACATTTATAAATAACCTTTGAGGCTCTACATTTTCCTATTATAGGGCAATTTTCTTTATTTATGCAATTGCAGGGTGGGTATTCTTTTAGTCTTTTTGAACTGATTTTCTTGTTGTGGCTTTTTATGATTCTTTTGACATTTTTGGTACAGCTGTAAATCACTTTGATGGTGTTTCGATTGAATAGTTTACTTTGGAGGTGGGATGTTGGAAAATGTTTGTTGATTATGTTTAGGTTGTTTGACATTGGTAGAAACACTTTAACTATACAGGGGTTGAACCATATTATATATATATATTTATTTCTTTTTTTCTCTTTTTTGGGGATTATACTTTGAATTACAACCAGTGAAGCCATTTCTTTTTAATTCATTTTCCTATTCTGGTATAGATAAATTTTGAGGAATTTTGTGATAATTTGTCGTTGATAGAGATGGCAATAGTTTTATTATTTGCAGAGGATTGTTGGAATCAGTATGGATGTATCGTAGATATTCATTTGGTTTTTTGAAAGGTTGGTAGGAGTTTTTTTTCTATGTTAAAGAAAACATCTAAGAAGTTGCCTGCGGGTAGGTTTATTTGGATCTCTATTTTAAAACCGATCATTTTAATAACTTTAATTATGTTTTTTTCGTAGGATATCAATTTATGATCCAGTTTTTTATGATGTACCATCAAACCATCGTCACAATATAGCCCAACGTCTTCTTTATTTATTATTTTAGAAAGTGTGTCTAATATATATAGGCCCACCAGTTCACAAACTTTATTATTAATTATTATCTACAAGTTTGTAAATTTATTATAAATTATTATCTACGAGTTTGAAGTTTTAGTTTAATACTATGGGGCAGAAGTTATAAAAGCCGTTGCGTTTTATGTATTTTAGTATTAGTTTTGTTTTGCTTGATGTTTCGGTTAAAAAAAGATTTATAAAAAAATAATAAATTATATAAGAAAAGCTTAAATTCTACTTTTTAAAAATATATAACAGTAATAGTCAAAAATAATTGGAAAACACAAAAAATTGAAGTTTAAAAATATAAATTTTTGTTTTAAAGAAATGCAAACTGTTCAGATCTCTCCGCTGATTAAGTTGTTTTTAACCGGCATAATATTTATATTTAAAATTATTTCTTTGTTTTCTATTTTTCCATTTAGATTAAAACTAAATATTTACTGTATTTGTATTTTTTACCTAGGCATACCTATAGTTCTTCATTGCCCAGAAAGTCAATGATTCTTTTACACAGTCTGTGTCAAATTTTTTTAAAAAAAGGTAAAAAATAAATTCCGCCATTCCGGCCTGAAATATTGTAAATCCGGCCATAACCAGAATGACCTAAAGTCACAAATTCTGGCTGGAATGAAATACTGGTACATCTCTATTAATATATACATATGTGTATATATATATATATAATATATATATATATATATATATATATATATATATATATATATATATATATACATATATATCTTATACTGTTGAGTTAGGTGAGCATGATGATGTCATACTCACCTAATGTCAAATAGCCTGCTGCCGGGGGCTTCAGTACATACATCGACTGACAAATAGCCTGACTCGCAGTGGAGTGCTGCTACATCGACTGAGGGTTTGGTATGGGTCAGCAACCTTTTCATTCATTATTCTTCGTTTTCCCTCATCGTTTTCTAAAAATGCTTACTTAATTAAGGCTAGCAAAAAAAGTGAGCAATTGCGCATATAAATATGCTATAGTAGATATATATATATATATATATATATATATATATATATATGCCTGCTGCTGGGGGCTTCACTACATGCATTGTTTATCTTATAGCCTGCTGCCGCAAAAGAGTGCCACTACATTGACTGAGGGTTTGGGCTGCGGCAGTAATCTTTTTTTTCATTATTCATTTTTTTCTTTTTCTTAGAAAGCTGAATCCTGTAAAGATAAGTAATATGAGTCAATCATTTCACAAGTCTAAGTCTTTTTTACTTGTTATGAGAAATAAATGAAAAACTTAAAAAAAAATTGCTATTTTTTTCTCTGACATCACAATAAAAAAATATAAAAATACTATTTTCTAATTGGTTTAAGATATTATCTTAAACAATGTTTGTTTTATTGATATGTAAGAGAAAAAATTGCAATTTTTTTAAACTTTTTTATTTATTTCTCATAACATTAAAAAATGACTTAGACAATTTTAAAATGATTGTGACAAATTGCTGATTTATATATATATATATATATATATATATATATATATATATATATATATATATATATATATATATATATATATATATATATATATATATACATATATATAAATATATATATATATATATATATATATATATATATATATATACACACATATATACACATACATATACATATACATACTTATCATTCTTCCACTTGCAATGTTTACAATTTTTTGATATTTAAATAAACAAAAATTAATTTATTACCTTTTCTAAACTGGTTAAGTATGTCATTGAGCTATCAAGTGTTGTGATCTGGTTATGGCTGAAGTTAATGTGAGTTAGCGAATACCATGACTGAACAATTAGACTAAAATATTTTATAAAATTTTATAGACACACACCTAACCAGCTTTAAAAAAAATTAAGTCTCAATCATCTTTCATTTAAAATCAAAAACATAAGCAATAATGATCACTTTAAAGAATCACAATGGTTGAAAAAAAGTATGAACTTAATTTAAAAGAGTTAAACATAAGGTGATAAATTTTAAACAAAGCTTGACCACAATGGTTATTTCATTATAAGAACAGTTTAAATTTTTATCAATATTAGCATAATCAAAGTAATGCCATGAATAATACACAGAATATTTATAATTCTTTTTTTTTTCTCTTTTTTTTTTTTCTTATCAAAAAATTATAATACATGTAAATATTAAAAAAAACTCTTGATAATGAAAGTAGTCTTACCGATTTTCTGATAGCTTATAAGCTGCCTGTACTCTCCATATTTCTCCTAAAAGGTTCACTTGAGGGGTCTATTAACAAAATTATATCAAAGATTTAATTAGGGTGAATAAAATTATCAATTAAATTATACCAAAGTTAATTTGAAGTCTCTATGAATAAAACAGTATTTTATTTATTAGGTTAGATTGATGCTAATTGTAAAAATATTGCAACAAAGTTCATTAAAGATTAAATTTCTTAATAGTTAATTTGAAGTCTCTATGAATAAAACAGTATTTTACTTATTAGGTAAATAGTTTAAACAATTACTAAATAGTTTATACAATTACAAAACTTAATTAAAATAAGCATTAAAATAACTATATCATTCAAGTGACTTATAATTAAATATTGAAAACATGAACTATACTAATTATACGAATAATATATTATTATAAAATATGTGAAATATATTTTATATCGGATGGAAACGGAAAAATCCGGTCAACTTTATTTCAATTTTTATTTCAATTTTTTTATTATTAAATGTGTTTACATAAATTAGAGTTTCAACTTAATTTTAAGGGGCTTGATGGGTTGTTTGGCAAGAAATCGAATTTTATAGTGGGTTGATGCCATCATTTCACAGATTTTTTCTTCTTTCACCATATTGGTGGCATTAATACACTTTTTTTGGAAGTCCTTTTTATTATTTGTTACTCACCTGTCTTACGAAGAACTCCTTTAACTATTGCCCAAAAATCTTCAATCTTGCGCTCTTCAGGACGATTTGGAGGATTCGCATCATTTGTTTTCATAGTAAAACTGTTGACCAGGAAGTTGTGAAAAATCTGCCTTGCAATACGTTTCCTCGCCTTCAATTATGCACATATTTTTATCCGCCATTACTTTAACCAACTTCTTTGCACGTCGAATTTCTTTAATTTCACAATTTAAGCTTCTCTTAGGTGTATTTTTTTTAATGAAATGCTGTGACTGGTTTGGATTTCTTGCTATTGAACATAAAATCGACTTAATCTTTGTGGATTTATGGAAAGTTTTTTTTCTTCCACTTCCAAGTTTTCTTTTGAAGCTTTGAGTAGTCTTGAACTTGTTTATAATATCTATGACTGTAGATTTTGGGATATTTGTGCGTTTAGCAATTAAGCGATAGGAAGTCGATGGATTTTTGCAAAAAAAATTCACAACTTTTTTACGCACCTCAATTTGTTTTTAAAACATTTTGCAAATCATTAATTTGTAAACAAAAATTTATCAACACCATTTAAGATAAGGAAGTAAGGTTTAATTTAAAAAAAAAATTAAATAAAAAGCATTTGTGGTTTTGGAGAAATCTCAATTTAAAGTTGACCGGATTTTTTGTGTCCACCCGATAATAACTTAAGAACAAAAATATAACATAGGTATTTAGAAAAATATTAACTTTTGTAATAATTTTATAATTCAAATTAATTAGGTAAAACTACTAATTAAATTTAGAATTTCATATATAGTTATTAGGTAGTATACATGAGAACATATATAGTTATTAGGAAATATCAATGAGAACATATATAGTTATTAGGAAGTATCCATGAGAACATATATAGTTATTTAGAAGTATCTATTAGAACATATATAGTTATTAAGAAGTATCCATGAGAACATATATAGTTATTAGGAAATATCCATGAGAACATGTGGAGTATCGATGAAAACATATATAGTTATTAGGAAGTATCCATGAGAATAGTTAAAATAATTACTTAGAAAATAATTGAAGAATAAGCAAGCAAACATAACAGACAACAATACACTTTAAATATTGTCAATTCTTTTATAACTTGTGTTAATGAATCAAGAAAACATAGCTGACCAAACCCGTAAAAATACAAGTCTTTGTTAGTCTATTCCACGCTGATCTTATCTACATTTTTTCCTTAAATATTCTAGCCTTCCAGGAATTTTCTAAAATATGGATCTTTACCAAACCTACAATTTCTATACTTATCTATTCCACACTGCTCATCTCTAAACCTATTCCTTATTTAATTCAATATTTTTTAGTAAAATAATTCATTCTGTAGAATAGCTTTAAAAGCAAAAAAATTAAAATGTGCTTCCTTTCGGCATACATAGAGTTTATAAGGGATTTATAATTAGATTTCTTTTTCTCCTAAATGCATATCATTGATAGCTCAGTGGTTTGGTGCACTGTAATCAGAGTTGTTTTGGGGGGTTAAAGTCCTCCCCTTAGCGTAATAAATTTCAAAACTTTTTCAAGCTTACATATTTATAGCAAAAAATAATAATAAAGCAAAAAAGATTTCTTATTGTTAATATAAAATTTTTAGGTTTTCTTATTTTATAGATTTATTATACAAGATTGTTTCAAATACTGACTGCAAACTCAACATATGCTGAAGACATTTACACTTCATGTGTGTATGTAACGCTAAACAAATGGCAGAACTAAGAAAATTTTAGACCATTAAAAATTATAATCGTGGCCTTAGCTATAAAATGCTTATCTAAAAGTTAAGCTAAAAATACTTTGAGCAGTGACGTCAGTTTCTGGCAAAAAAATAATTTATACGTCAAGATTGCTTTTGCATTTATCTTTTTGTATTTATATTTGTATTTTACATTTTTTTATATATCTTGATGATCTAATTTTACTTTAATTATGGTGCATACAATTATGGTGCATACAATTATGGTGCATACAATTATGGTGCATACAATTATGGTGCATACAATTATGATGCATACAATTATGGTGCATACAATTATGGTGTATACAATTATGGTGCATACAATTATGGTGCATACAATTATGGTGCATACAATTATGGTGCATACAATTATGGTACATACAATTATGGTACATACAATTATGGTACATACAATTATGGTACATACAATTATGGTACATACAATTATGGTACATACAATTATGGTACATACAATTATACTACATACAATTGCACTAAAAAATATAAAACTGGTACAGACATTTCACGGATAAGAATTTATTTATTACAATAGTAATAAAAATATAGTTTTAGAGAAATAACATAATTACTATATTTAGTCTTTATTAGAATATATCCCATAAAAATATATTTTATATGTTTAATAAAAGGAACTTTTCTAAAAAATTTAAACAAAATCTTATTTGTAGTTAGTTTTTTGCCACAAAGTGACCATGTTCATTTTGTAAATCATTGACGACAAAAAAAGTTTTTTTTGTCGCCAATGATTTACGAAATTGTCGAAAAAGCCATGCCTATCCCATTTAATGGTCTAATTAGACCAAAACTTTCCACTTTTTTCTAATATCTAAACAATCGTGCAAAGAAAAGGATGATATAATTTTAGCAACCAGAAATTACCAAGAGAGAGAGCCTAATCTAAAAGTTTCAAATTTTTCACTTGGATGAGACAATATGCTTCATGTTTTTTCAATTTTGTCAATTTTTTTAAATACAATAACATAAATACAAAAATTAAAAACAAAACAGTTTGAGCAAAAAAGACTTTTTAATTATTAAAAAAGTTTACTTATATTACATACAGTGGGTTGCCAAACTATTAGGGACACTTTTTTAATAATTTTAAAGTTTTAATGATTTTTGCGAGCAAATAAATTGTTTTTAAATAATTTTTCTTGTGTGTTTTATTTACTAACATAATTATAGTTGTTTTCAAATTGTGGCAACACTGTCAGTCTACCCTATAATTAAAAAAATTAGTTTATTATTCAATTAGCTGTCAATTGTTGAAAAGTGTGGTTGGAGTAAGTTCAAAATTGATTTCAATATTTTATTTTTGGAACAATTTTTTGTAAGTTTTTTGAGTTCAAAACTATTGAAACCTAAGTATTGGTTAATAGTTCAATTAGTTAAGGCTAATAATTTATTATTTTTGCTAATTTTAATGCAAAAATCCTGACCTTTAAATATTCTTACCTCATATTGATTTTTTTAGTATGGGCAAGTCTTCTGACCCCAAGAAAAAGTATGGAAGTAAAAACCTTACTTCTTCATTCTACACATTCTCAGAGAGAAATAGCAGCAATTGCAAGTATTTCAAAGTCAGTAGTGAACCGAATTAAAAGAAAAATCGATACAAATGTGTCTTTAGAACCAGGCCATGTCAGCAAAAGTGGTTGAAAAAGGATCACTACTCCACGTTGTGACTGTAAAATTAGGGATATCTTAAAAACAGAAAAAAAAGTGTGGCTCAACTAGCTACAATGATAAACAATGAAGGAATTAACATCTCCAAATGAACGGTTCAGAGAAGGTTAGCTAAAGAGAACTTAATGGGTCGTTGCCCAACAAAAAAACCACGTTTAACTGAAGCCATGAAAAAAAAAGCGATTAAAATGGGCTAGAAAACACCATTATATGACTATTGAAGACTGGAATAGAGTAAATATAATTTACAATATTGTAAGAAACCAGAAAAATTATAGGATTATAATTTAAAATATCTTTGAAATATTTTACAGGTCTGCTTCTCGGACGAGTCAATATTTCAAATTTTGATGGACAAAAGCTCATTTGTTCGAGGACGCCCAGGAGAAAAATTTCACCAGCACTGCTTAATAGAAAAGGTTAAACATCCTGTGAGTGTAATGGTGTGGTCTGTGATCTCAACCAAGGGTATGAGCTGCCTCTACATTGTGGAAGGGACCATAAGGCAGGACCAGTACAAGCGAGTACTGGAAAACAGTCTCCTGCCCCAGGTTCAAGAATAGTTTGCTGATAATGAAGAGTACATGTTCATTGATGACTCAGCACTGTACCATAAAGCTAGAAGTGTTACAGCATGAAAAAAATGTGGGTGTTTTGCCATGGCCGGGAAATTCATCTGATATGAACCCCATAGAAAATCTGTGGGAGTTCACAAAACGGGAAATTGCCGAAGAAATCATCACTACTAAGCAGCAATTGATAGAAACCCTTATAAGAGAGTGGCATAACAACCCCAGTCTCCAACACAATGCAAAAATGTGCATAGATAGCATGCCCAGACGCCTGAAAGCTGTTATTGTAGCAAAGGGTGGCATTACAAAATATTGAGATTATTACCTTATTTGTTGTGTTAAAACTTTTTATAAAAAAATAGATAGGTATGAATAAATAATGATGTTGTTTTATATTCTAAATAAAGTCCTCTAACAATAAAAACAATTTTAAAAAATAACTACAAGATATTTATTCATTAAATTAGTTTAAACTTTAAAACTACTTAAAAAGTAAAGTGTCCCTAATAATATGGCAACCTACTGTACTAGCAGTTGGAAATATGTCATCATCTTTGCCACAAATATCTACCATTTTAGTTAGGGGAAAATAAGCATGAAAATAAGGCATAAACACAAAAAAAAAAAAAAAAAAATTCAGTTTTTTTTTGTTTTTTAAAATAAGTAAATGACTATGCACGATTACTTAATTAATGACTATGTACGATTACTTAATTGAATGAAGATATATCATATACATCAAATACAACATCATTGTTTGTCCTAAATAAAACAGCAACAGAAAAAAAGATTTCTTTATTAAGATTAAAATCTTTAGATTAAAATCTCTCTTTACCACCTCCCCCACCTCCGCACACACATACACACATACTTTTACACCCATACAAAACATACACATTTTTACACACATACACACAACTTTTATACCCACATTTATTTTTATACACATACACACTAACACACATTTTTCTATACACACATACGTTCACACTTAACTGTGCCTACTTATAAATATTTACTATCCAAATAAATGTGCAAAAAGGCACAAGAACATAAACAGATTTTTTAAACATCAGTAAAAGTGAAAATTTGTATTAGCACAAATCTACGTTCAAAAAAACATTTAAAAAAAAATGTTGACTAAAAGAATAGGACATTTACAGCAATATGTAAAAACAACTTTTATTTTGATTAGGAAACTATTTTTCCCAACCAAAATAATTGCTATATATTATATAACGATTAATCTAATAATCAATTTTTTAAAAAATTTAAATTGTTTGGAACACTTATGTCAGTTTGAATATTTGCAGATAAAACATACCTACATTGATTTGCACTTATGCAAGTTCACAATTATACCAGTATTTGGAAAAATTTTTGGTGAACATGTGCCAGTTCATACTTATGCAAATTTACATCTAATGAAATTTTGCAATTCTTCACCCTTATGCAATTCCTACTTTTGCAAGTTTTACATTTATAATATTTTTACTTAAACAGTTGCTATTTTTTCAAAAATATATTTATTACATATAAATTATTTATTATTACATATAAATTATTATTACATATAAATTATTTATTACATATAAATTAAAATAAAACTTACTGAACGCTTCTCTACAGCAGCATCAATCAATAAAGACTAAATTTCAAAAAATAAAAGACTTTAAAAGCATTTATTAAATATTTTACAAATCAAAGCAATTTTTATAATAAATACAATGCAAAATTTCAAGTAACTTCCTTGCCCATTACAAAACCAACTTCCTTGCCCAACTACTTTTTATACAACTACCACTTTACTTAGATGAAATAAGAAACATGTATAAAATCAACAGTGTTGAGCAATATAAATGTTTATTAAATCATTTATATTTCCTTCAATATAAACATGCACTATCTATTGTACGCTGTAAGGTTGTCAAAACTTGGTTGTTTATGTAGATAAGAGCGAAATAAATCTTAATAACCAGAAAATGACAAGTTTGCAGTTATTTAGAACTTTTTATTATTAAACTTAAGATGTGTCATTGTATAACTTATTTAGTCAAAACTTTTTAAAAAACAAAAATGATGAATTATGGATTTAAATAAAAAAATGGTGTGGTCCACAACTTTTGGGATTGAATTTCAGACCCCCGGTCCCAATTAATGTAAAGTAATAAAAATGTAAAGTAATGTATTTTTAATGGTTCTAAACATTATTTTGTTTATTGGTATTTAGTAAGTTAAAAACTTTTTTTGTTTTTTTATTTATAATATCAAATACATCATACATACATTGACAGAATGGTACATTAATGGTATGTTAGAGACATGATTTTAGGCTTTGTTGCATATTGCTTGTGTATTTGTAATGTAAAGCTTAATGTTACTGCCCACTATACAAGTTTGTAATATATTTTTTGAATATAAACTTCAAATATAAACTTCAAATATAAACTTCTTATTATTCAAGTATAAACTTTTAATATAAACTACTAATATAAATTTCTAATATAAATTTAAACTTTAATGTGAACATTCTATTTTGATAAACTCTCTAGTCTAATTTACACTCTAATTAATTTCTAAATTACAATCTCTAAATTCTAATTATATTCTAAATTGCATTCAATTAAATTTTAACTATAGCATTGAGTAAAAGTAAGTGCAAAGACTTTTTATTGGATTTAGTAGCATCAATAGCATAAACATTTAAATCACATAGAAAATTATAAAATGGGTAATTATAAATGTTTTTATTTACCATTTAATTAACACATTTACCTTCATTGATGACAAGCAGTAACGTGCAGTAAGCTTTTTAAGCTTTTGGCATAAACTTTCAAAACCTCGTATTGAGTTAATGTTGCATGCATCTATCTACAATGATAGTGTTATATGCATTTATATGTATTTATTATTTTTATATAGAATAGTAAATAAGTAAATAAATAAACAAATATATATATATATATATATATATATATATATATATATATATATATATATATATTATATATATATATATATATATATATATATATATATATATATATATATATATATATATATATATATATATATATATATATATATATATATTGCATATACATATGCATACAATATTTATATGTTAATTTTCTAAAATTATCATAAACAATTGAAATATTATATTAATATTCTAAAAATATGATATAAAACCAGATAGCTACATACACCAATAGAAAATTACTTAACCTAATGGCACACTAGTAATTTAATTTTCATTATTTATTTTTATTACTAAAATTAAGATCAAAAGAACTTCATCATACGCATCTTGCATATTTGCTAATAATAACCATAGTAACCATATTGAAACTAATATGCAGCAATAAAATTATAAAAATAAATTATTAAATGCACCTGAAGTCGAGTTAAAGAGGAGAAGAGTGACAAATCAAAGGTAAGAAAACTTTCATTTTCTTCTCCATTACAAAACTGAGTTGCAGGATCCGTAATATTTAACCTACTTAAAGCAGCAACGAATTGATAAAGGTAACCCAAGTCAATTGTGCTATCTATTAATAAACATTTGTTAAAATTAATTTTAAACACCAAAGAGACTTCTATCAGTGCTTAAACTTACAATATTTATTACAAGTTTAATAAATACCAAAATAATACCAAAATACAATACTTTAATACCAAAAGTACAGTTAATAAATATAAAAATGTGATTAAATACATAAACAGGTTAATAAATATACCAACTTTACTAACTATATACTAGCTATATTATTAATATATTACCCTGTATAATTTTTGTTTACAGTAGTCTTTAAATAACAAACAAACTTTTATCTTTTTACAGTTCTTACTTGGATGAGGTATTTGTAATTGTTTTGTTATACAATAAAGTTGGCTCGGAGATAATCTAAAATAGTCTTTTGACATCAAAATGCTGTCCCCTAAAATAAAATGTAATAAAATGAAATATATTAGTAATATAATATATAATGTAACAAACTAGACTATTTCTTAACAAAATCACATACTTTCTTAACCTCTTATAAACAAAACAAAAAACATAAAATTTATTTACAGTCTTTTAAAAAATAAAATCAATCAGAAGAAAAAAGTGGTAAATGTTAAAACAACTTAAAAAACCCTGTTAAAAAAAACCTTGTTTTGCTTAGCAAAGTGAAAATAATATTTTTTTTACCTATTTCATAAGTTATTTGACTTTCAAATAATAAGTTTAGCATAAAAACAATTTCTAAACTTTATACGACAGTATCTTTTAGCCCCAAAAAACATTCTGATAAAATTTATAATCTTTTTCTAAATTATTTTTCTTAATTTAAATAAAGCAACCTTTTATTCAAAATTTCCTTCAACCACGCGAGACGGAGAAAGGGTTACTGAGAGGATAACTCAAACAGGGGGGCTACTAAGGGTGTTATTTAAGGATTTGGTAAAATACTGATTTATAAAATTAAAATGGTCTTATATAGAAAAAACAAATGATTTTGTTTCGAATGCCTGCAAAAAAGTAAAAATTTTATTTTCAAAGTATGAATTTTTTCTTTTGTTCAATAAAGATAAAAAAAGTCTGTATTTAGAGAAGTAATAATTCATCCAATCTACTGGTGAATGAATTTAAAGACCCAAAACTCAGTTCAAATTTAAGTTCTTGCTTATGTTGAACTTGTGGAAGTTGCAAGACAAACCTATATTTTAAACCAAAAGGTAAGCGCATCATCCAGGTCATATTTTATGAAATTTCAAATAATACTTTGAAAAAATATTCGGAAAAATTTTACCTTATTTTTCTTATTTTTAAAAAAGCCCATAATGGTAGGGGCATTGCTTGACAAAAAAAAGTTATTGCAAACATCTAGATAGCAAAAAAAAATACACCTAACTAAAATATTAACAATATAATTAACAATATTCAATATTTTATAGTAAATATTAAATATTTTCAATTTTCATTATATTCAAAGCTCTAAAGAAATTAACTGTCAAAAGCAAATTACGTAGAATTTTCTTTGTTATAAAACATGTAACTGTTGCTATTAATATAAACAATAACTTTATAAGAAGTGCACATCAGGGTATATTAATTATTTATTAAAATATTTTCAAAACCAATAGCATCACAAAAAATGTTAGGTAATTTTTTAATTTTATACTGTGTTTTGAAAATACAATTTGCAATACTTAAAACAAAAATATATATTTAAACTTTATATACATACATATATATACATATATATATATATATATATATATATATATATATATATATATATATATATATATATATATATATATATATATATATTAAATTTTTTTAATAAATTTTTATCTAATCCATATTTATTTATTAATCAAGTACAAACCATTTTCTTTCAAATAGCAAGCTAATCCATATGTAACATTTGAAATATCCTATTAAACAAAAATTTGTTTAATAATATGATATTTTATTTACAAAACGTATAAAAATATAGAATTGTATGATTCAAAAATATTTATGAATATAATTTTTTTTGTTCAATAAACATTAAATTACATTTGATTTGACTTCTAGGAATTCTGATATTTCTTCAGATTTTCGCACAGCTCCATTACAGCTATAAATAACAAAAATGCTAAACAAAACTTGTGACTCAAAATCATTCTCAAAATTTTTCAAAAATTTACAAAATGTCGAACAATCACCCTAAGCAATCATAACTAACAACTATCACAAAGAAAAAAATCAAAATGGTTTCTTTTTTCTATCTATTATATTTATTAAATAAATCTATTATATCTAATTACTCTATTATGAAGTATTGTATAACAATAAATTATAAAAAAAATAACCTATTTAAAAGCTTTTGTAAATAATGCTCTAACAATTCTCTTCGCTGCTGCAATGTCTCACGAGCCATATTATTTGTTAATATTCTAGGAGGCAAAAGATTTCGAGGAACATTATATAATGCAACAAGCTAAAAAGTAATAAATTAGCATACATTAACATTTATGGAATGTGAAAACAAATAAACCAGTTTATTTTTATGAATATAAATTAAACTAGAATTTTTGTGCGGAAAAAAATAATTTCTATTAGACTGTACTTATCAAATGGAGTTATTTTGCTTAATTACCTTTTGGTGCAAGTTATAAAACTCTTTGTATCTTTTAAAAACAAACCAATGAGATGTCTGGCTCATTACCTCAACTTTGTAAACCTAAATTATTAATTTGTAAATGAAACAAGAAGCAAAACAGAATTATTTGATTATTTTTATAAACTATATAATTAGATCATTTGACATTTTAACCTCCGAATAATTAACTAAAATTATTTACCTAAATAAAGCTTTATTTTTGTTAACTAAAATCCTAAAATTACCATGTACTATATTAAAATAAAATAAATAGTAGCTGAGTAGCACTAAAAATATTAATAAAAAGAATAACAACAACAACAACAACAACAACAATAACAACAACAACAACAACAATAAAAATGTAGTTCATACAACTGTAAACTTTATACAAAATTACATCCTAAGCAATTGTTTATAAAGTATGTACATCAAAAATTAAGAAATTTGACCCCCCACCCTGTTGCCATGCATACTTTTAAGTTTCCCTCCTCCCTAAAAAATACATACACTTTTAAAAAAAAAAACTTCCTTTTTTTTTTTTTTTTTAATAATTAAAAAGTCCTAATAATTTTTAATAATAAAAAAATGTCTTAGAAAAAATTGAATCAATTAAGAAATGTTTTCAAATAAGAGTATTATAAATAAGTCTTAAATAAATGATCACACCAAAAACTTGATTAGGCACTTTTTGCAGATTTTTCCTCCCCCTAATATCCCTTATTTTTGATAGGTATTTTGTACTAAAACAGATATGGTGCCCTTGATTTTGGCACCATATCTATTTTAAGGACATATATATGTCTTTAAGTATATATATAAAAAAATATGTATAAATATATATATAAAATATGTATATATATATATATATATATATATATATATATATATATATATATATATATATATATATATGTGAAGACATATATATGTCTTTATATATATTAAATAGTAGTGATTAAATAGTAGTGATTAAATAGCGGCAGTGGTGTAGTGGTAGAGCGCTCGCTTCATAAACGAGTGGTTCCGAGTTCGATCCCCACCACGTCCCTGGTAGTACCGCGCTCAACTCGTTTCTCCGCGCAGCGACCTTGTTCGTCAAGGTTCGTGTTTCGGAGTTATAGAGTTGAGAGAGGGTTATAGCCACGAATAAGTAGCCTCCTCATCTGTAGTGGCCTTCTCGGCCTTGAGGAGGTGAATTAAAATAAAATTAAAAAAAATGAAAAAAAAAATATATATATATATATATATATATACAAAATATATATATGTGTGCGTGTATATATATATATATATATATATATATATATATATATATATATATATATATATATATATATATATATATATATATATATATATATATATATATATATATATATATATATATATATATATATATATATATATATATATATATATATATATATACATACATATAAACATAAATATATATATATATATATATATATATATATATATATATATATATATATATATACATATAAATATATACATATAAATATATATATATATATATTTATATATATACATATAAATATACATATATATATATATATATATATATATATTTATATGCATATATAAATATACATATAAATATATACTTATATGTATATATATACATATAATTATATATATATATATAATAATAATAATAATAATAATTAGAGATTAAAGTGCCATTATTTACAACAATCACAATAGTGATGAAGTAATTCAGAAGCACTAAACAAGTAAACTATGAGTCTGAAAAAGAGTTCATAAAAAGTTCATATTTTAGTCTTTTTTTGAATGTTTCTATAGAAGTTGAGTTTCGCGTGTTCAAAGATAAACCATTCCAAATTCGAGGTGCAGCCATACAAAAAGATTTTGAGCCTAAGGAGGTTTTTTGTTGACGACGTGTAAGTTGGCAACTGTCTAATGATCTTGTATTTTGTTTTGAAGTTCGGACTTCTAGGAGTTCAAATAAATATGCAGGAGATTTTGATAATAAAATTTTATATGTGATAACTGATATTTTATAGATTATTCTTTGATGTATTGGTAACCAATGAAGAGATTTCAGCAATATTTCTGATTTTAAATGGAAAGGAGAATGGAAAACAATACGAGATAAGTTATTTTGAATTCGTTGGAGTTTTTTAATATTTTTTTGATAAGTGCCAAATAAAATGCTGTTACAATAGTCAAGCTGAGAGTTAACGATGCCACAAGCAATTATGTTTGCAGCTTCTTTGGTCAGACATGGACGAATGTGGCGAAGTGCACGAATGTGGTAATTGCAGGATTTAATAATATTGTTTATGTGGTTGTCCATAGAGAGCTTTGAATCTAGGATGACTCCAAGGATTTTTACTGAATTTATTGTAGTTATTGTGGTTCCAGAAAACGCAATATTCAAATCATTTTTATATTTGCTAGTTTGTTTTCTAGATCCAAATAAGATAGCTTCTGTTTTATTTGGATTAAGCAGAAGTCCATTTTCTAGAAACCATGTTGTAACTGCATTAGCACACTCAGTGATTTTGCTGATGCTATCTTTGCCAGGGCTGAGGAAAGTATAAAGTTGGGTATCATCAGCATATTGATGATGATTTGTACCAAATTTAGCTATAATACGATATATAGGTGAAACAAAAATGGAAAATAGAAATGGGCCTAATACACTACCCTGTGGTACTCCTGTTGAACTTGCTATTAGTCTAGAATTTGATGATCCAATAGAAACAAAAGATTTTCGAGAGTGCAAGTATGATGTTAGCCATTTTAATGCAATATCTGTGACACCAAATCATTCTTAATACGGGTAATCAGCAGGCTGTGATCAATTGTATCAAATGCTGAAGATATGTCCAGAGATAGGAGAATAGTGGTCAAACCATCATCAATGTTTAGCAGGATGTCATTGCATATCTTTAAGAGTGCTGTT